TATTGATTGTCGCCATTGGTTGTGCATCGCATCCCATTTTGCTTATCATTAGATAATGTAGATATTGATCGTCGCCATTGGTTGTGCATCTGCTCCATTATTATTATTATTAATATTATTATTAGATAATGCAGATATTGATCGTTGCCATTGGTTGTGCATCGCATCCCATTTTGCTTTGATGTCAGTATTTTTCTCCATTATTATTATTATTATTATTAGATAATATAGATATTGATCGTTGCCATTGGTTGTGCATCGCATCCCATTTTGCTTTACGACAATGCTGTGGTGGTGCATTATTATTGTTAGATGATGTCGTTCTTGGGTGGCGCACGTCCTTCTCGCTTCCCTTACCTGCGGGGTGACCTGGGCTTGGCGGGTGCTGTCTTACCTGTGGGGCCTTCCTTTCTGCTTCCCAGGTGACCCTTTCTCTCTGTGCCTGACCTTCTCTCCTCCTCTGCCTCTCTTCTCCTTCCTCTGATGCGCTCCCGTGGCGTCCGTCCGCACGCAGACCAAGTCTATCAGCAACTGGAGCAAAAGCAGCGCCTGACTCAAGAGCTCAAGCTGGCCCTCAATGAGGACTGAGTAGGAAGAACCCCTTTGCCATGCTTGCATCTCTCCATCATGCATAAGACATCCGTGGTCCATGCGTGGTCCATGCGCAAGTGTGCTTCATACGAACACCATCACTATCATTCACTCCATCTATACCGCAGACTTAATGCGGTTCGATCCCACTTTAAACTATGGGAGCTATAGCTCGCACTCTTTGGCAGAAAGAGCCCAAGATCCCGTCAAACTGCAAAATGACCAGGATCCTTGTCAAACTAGACTCGGTGAAAGTGGTATCAAACTGGGCTAAGTCCACAATGCAGATCCACCTTACGTCCCTTGGGGAAGATGCTTCCGTATCAGTTAAAAGTGGTATCAAACTGGGTTAAATCCACATTGTAAACGCACCCCAAGTCCGTTAGGAAATATGCTTCCGAATCAGTTAAAAGTGGTATCAAACTGTGTTAAGTCCACAGTGTAGAGGCATACCAAGTCCCTTGAGGAAGATGCTTCTGAATCACTTAAAAGTGGTATCAAACCGGATTAAGTCCACAATGTAAATGCACCCCAAGTCACTTAGGAAATATGCTTCCGAATCAGTTAAAAGTGGTATCAAACTGGGTTAAGTCTCTAAAATAGATGCATCCCAAGTCCCTTGAGGAAGATGCTTCTAAATCACTTAAAAGTGGTATCAAACTGGATTAATTCCACAATGTAAACGCACCCCAAGTGCCTTAGGAATATGCTTTCGAATCACTTAAAAGTGGTATCAAACTGGATTAATTCCACAATGTAAACGCACCTCAAGTGCCTTAGGAAATATGCTTTCGAATCACTTAAAAGTGGTATCAAACTGGGTTAAGTCTCTAAAATAGATGCACCCCAAGTCCCTTGGGAAATATGCTTTTGAATCACTTAAAAGTGGTATCAAACTGGGTTAAGTCTCTAAAATAGATGCACCCCAAGTCCCTTGGGAAATATGCTTTTGAATCACTTAAAAGTGGTATCAAACTGGATTAATTCCACAATGTAAACGCACCCCAAGTGCCTTAGGAAATATGCTTTCGAATCACTTAAAAGTGGTATCAAACTGGATTAATTCCACAATGTAAACGCACCCCAAGTGCCTTAGGAAATATGCTTTCGAATCACTTAAAAGTGGTATCAAACTGGATTAATTCCACAATGTAAACACACCCCAAGTGCCTTAGGATATATGCTTCCGAATCACTTAAAAGTGGTATCAAACTGGATTAATTCCACAATGTAAACGCACCCCAAGTGCCTTAGGAAATATGCTTCCGAATCACTTAAAAGTGGTATCAAACTGGATTAATTCCACAATGTAAACACACCCCAAGTGCCTTAGGATATATGCTTCCGAATCACTTAAAAGTGGTATCAAACTGGATTAATTCCACAATGTAAACACACCCCAAGTGCCTTAGGAAATATGCTTCCGAATCACTTAAAAGTGGTATCAAACTGGATTAATTCCACAATGTAAACGCACCCCAAGTGCCTTAGGAAATATGCTTCCGAATCACTTAAAAGTGGTATCAAACTGGATTAATTCCACAATGTAAACACACGTTAAGTCCACAGTGTAGAGGCACCCCAAGTCCCTTGGGGAAGATGCTTCTAAAGTGGTATCAGACTAGGTTAAGTCTCCAATGTAGATGCACCCCAAGACCCTTGGGAAAGAGGCTTCCATAAGCAGTTAAAAGTGGTATCAACTGGATTAAATCCACAGTGTAGATGCACCCATTGGGGGGCATTTGTAATGGATTCCTGTTCTGATTCCTGTTCAGAATCTGGCTTGCAATCTCCCTCTTATATCTCAGAGAAATCTGATTTCAATCAACTTTGCGAAATAAATGGACTTATTTAATGATAACTCCTGGATCCTATCAAAGGCATGTTTGTATGTTGTGTGGTTTCCGTGTAACGTGTCAATTGTGTGCATGTGGCGTTCTGGTTGATTGCAATTTTTGAAAACATAACATTGTCATTTTTACATCATATTATTACATCATAATAATGTTAGATATTTATAATAATTGATTAATAATGGCAGGATTTGTTCGGGATTGTTATATTTTTTTATTATTATCATAAGCCTCAATTAGCAAAGTAATGGGTTGTTGTAGGTTTTTTCGGGCTATATGGCCATGTTCTAGAGGCATTCTCTCCTGACATTTCGCCTGCATCTATGGCAAGCATCCTCAGAGGTAGTGAGGTCTGTTGGAACTAGGAAAAAGGGTTTATATATCTGTGGAATGACCAGGGTGGGACAAAGGACTCTTGTCTGCTGGAGCTAGGTGGGAATGTTTCAACTGACCACCTTGATTAGCATATAATGGCCTGACAGTGCCTGGGGCAATCTTTTGTTGAGAGGTGATTAGATGTATTGTCGAAGGCTTTCATGGCCGGAATCACTGGGTTGTTGTAGGTTTTTTCGGGCTATATGGCCATTGTCTAGAGGCATTCTCTCCTGACGTTTCGCTAGGATTACAACAGCACAACAACAGAGAGGAAACAAACAAGGACTTCTAATCACCTCTCAACAAAAGTTTGCTCTAGGCACTGCCAGGCAATCAAATGCTAATCAAGGTGGTCAGTTGAAACATTCCCCCCTAGCTCCAGCAGACAAGAGTCCTTTGTCCCACCCTGGTCATTCCACAGATATATATATATATATATATATATATATATATATATATATATATATTCACACCATCCGCAAAGAACTCGACATCTAATCACCTCTCAACAAAAGATTGCCCCAGGCAATGCTAATCAAGATGGTCAGTTGAAACCTTCACACCTAGCTCCAGCAGACAAGAGTCCTTTGTCCCACCCTGGTCATTCCACAGATATATATATATATATTCACACCATCCGCAAAGAACTCAACATCTAATCACCTCTCAACAAAAGATTGCCCCGGGCAATGCTAATCAAGGTGGTCAGTTGAAACCTTCACACCTAGCTCCAGCAGACAAGAATCCTTTGTCCCACCCTGGTCATTCCACAGATATATATATATATTCACACCATCCGCAAAGAACTCAACATCTAATCACCTCTCAACAAAAGATTGCCCCGGGCAATGCTAATCAAGGTGGTCAGTTGAAACCTTCACACCTAGCTCCAACAGACAAGAGTCCTTTTTCCCACCCTGGATTATTCCACAGATATATATACCCTATTTTCCTAGTTCCAACAGACACTCAACCTCTCAGGGTGGCTTCCAACAATATAAAAACACCAATAAAATACACAATTATATAAAATGGTAATAAATATAAAAACTCTAAAATTACAACAGCACAACAACAGAGAGGAAACAAACAAGGACATCTAATCACCTCTCAACAAAAGATTGCTCCAGGCACTGCCAGGCAATCAAATGCTAATCAAGGTGGTCAGTTGAAACATTCACACCTAGCTCCAGAAGACAAGAGTCCTTTGTCCCACCCTGGTCATTCCACAGATATATAAACCCTTTTTCCTAGTTCCAACAGACCTCACTACCTCTGAGGATGCTTGCCATAGATGCAGGCGAAACGTCAGGAGAGAATGCTAGAGGCACTGCCAGGCCATCAAATGCTAATCCAGGTGGTCAGTTGAGACATTCACACCTAGCTCCAGCAGACAAGAGTCCTTTGTCCCACCCTGGTCATTCCACAGATATATAAACCCATTTTTCCTAGCTCCAACAGACCTCACTACCTCTGAGGATGCTTGCCATAGATGCAGGCGAAACGTCAGGAGAGAATGCCTCTAGAACATGGCCATATAGCCCAAAAAAACCTACAACAACCCATTAATTAAGGTGGTCAGTTGAAACATTCACACCTACCTCCAGCAGGCAAGTGTCCTTTGTCTCACCCTGGTCGTTCCACAGCTATATAAACCCTTTTTCTTAGTTCCAACAGACCTCACTACCTCTGAGGATGCTTGCCATAGATGCAGGCGAAACGTCAGGAGAGAATGCCTCTAGAACATGGCCATATAGCCCGAAAAAACCTACAACAACCCAGTGATTCCGGCCATGAAAGCCTTCGACAATACATTAAAGGGACTTATTTAATGATAACTCCTGGATCCTATCAAATACATGTTTGTATGTTGTGTGGTTTCCGTGTAACGTGTTCATTGTGTGCATGTGGCGTTCTGGTCGATTGCAATTTTTTTTATCATAACATTGACATTTTTACATCATATTATTAATCATAATAATGTTACCTATTTGTAATAACTGATTAATAACGGCAGGATTTGTTCGGGATTGTTATATTTTTATTATTATCGTCATAAGCCTCAATTAGCAAAGTAGTGTGTTTGCGATTTCCTTTTGGCTGTTTTGCTTGCCTTTTGCGCATCGATGTACGGCTTTAAATGACCATGTTTTGCATTTCTTTCTTGCTTTGCAAACGCAGAGAAAGTGGCGCACGCCAAAGAAGAGAACCTCAACATGCACCAGATGCTGGACCAAACTTTACTGGAGTTGAACAACATGTGAAAAGGAAACGAAACAACACAAAAACAAATTTGCATCCCGACTTCGCTCTCTCACTTTGCCACGGATCGGTTTGTTTTGACACCCGCTTGCCATGGGATATTTCCCCCTGAAAACAAGAAAAGTGTCGCATATTTTAAAATATTATTATTATTATTACTATTTTTCTCTCCACTTTTGGCACAAAACGGGACACAAAAACGGGGCAAATATGGGAAATATAACATCTAGGTTGCGGGTTTTGTGCCGAATTTCCCAAATGCAAATGGATCTATCCCTGCAAATCTTGCACGACAGCAAAGATCAATTATTGGAAAGACAGGGAGGCATTGATTATTGATCACCTAAACTTTTTAAAAATTTGCATTAATTCAGTTGCGGATAGAAAAGGTCTTTAGGCCCTGCACCCAGTGTGCCGATCACCACTGGGACCACCTTGACTGGTTTGTGCCAGAGTCTTTGCATCTGTATATGCAGAAATGATCAATCATTGGAATTGGTTATTGATCGGCAAAAAGAGATATTTGCACAGTCTATTAATTCAAATCCTTGTTGCAAATGGAGAGGACCTTTCATTTATATATGAAGCAAATATTGATCATTATTGGAAATTGGATATTCTTGGGTATGGAGCAAGGATCAATTATTGGAATTGGTTATTGATCAGCCAAAAAACAGATACTTGCATGGTCTATTATGTTGCTGATAGAGAGGACTTTTCACCAAGATATGAAGCAAAGATCAATAATTATTGGAATTGGATAGCCTTTTCACTTGGATATAGGAAGCAAGGCTCAAATATTGGAAAACCAGGGAGGAATTGGTTATTGATCGGCAAAAAAGTCATATTTAAATCCATGTTGAGGATGGAGATGACTTCACTGATATATATGAAGCAAAGATCAATAATTATTGGAATTGGGTAGCTTTTTCACTTGTATAGGAAGCAAAGATCAATTATTAGAAAGCCAGGGAGGAATTGAGTATTGATCAGTATGCCTTGTGAATATGGAAGATATTTGTATGATCTATTAATTGAAATCCATGTTGCAGATGGAGAGGACTTTTCACCTATCTATGAAGCAATGATCAATTATTGGAATTGGTTATTGATCGGCTCCCCAAAATATATATTTTTTGCAAATAAGGAAGATAATTATATGGTCTGTTAATTCAAATCCATGTTACAAATGGAAAGGACTTTTCACCTATCTATGAAGCAATGATCAATTATTGAAATTGGTTATTGATCGGCTCCCAAAAAATTTTTTTTTGCAAATAAGGAAGATAATTATATGGTCTGTTAATTCAAATCCATGTTACAAATGGAAAGGACTTTTTACCTATCTATGAAGCAATGATCAATCATTGGAATTGGCTATAGATCCGCAATATATAATATTTGCATGGTCTATTACATCAAATGCAGATGGAGGCGATCGTTTGCTCATATATGAAGCAGAGATCAATAATTATTGGAATTGCATATACCTTTCACTTGTATATGAAGCAATGATCAATTATTGCAAGTGTATTGATTGGTTCTATATATGTTGCATGGTCTATTAATTGAAATCCATGTTGAGGATAGAGAGGACTTTTCACCAATATATGAAACAAAGATCAATAATTATTGGAATTATTGTAAACGAAGCAGAGATCAATATTTGGAAAACCAGGGAGGAATTGATCATTATTGATTGCCAAAACAACACCAAAAAAAGATATTTGCATTGGTTATTAATGTTGCAGATGGAGAGGACTTTTCACTTGTACATGAAGCAAAGATTGATGATTGGAATTGGTTATTGATCGCGAAAAAGAAGAGATATTTGCATGGTGTGTTAACGAATTCTCATTGCAGACATAGAGGATGAAGCTAAGATCGGTTATTGAAAATCCAAGAATTATTGATCGGCATATACTGCAAATAATAAAATGTATGTGTATGTGTGTTCACTCCCACGATTCAATCCGTTGGTCCTGTTCAATACTTTGAATTTTTGGGATTATTATTTCTCCCCAATACTACGAGCCACAATGCACCCCACGTTTTAAATATATATATTTCCTGAATATTCCGATTCCACGGATGGATCCCGTCTGTTTTGCCCGAAGCCGAAAGGGAACCCCCTTCGATTTGGAGATTTGACACTTGTTTTGTTCGCCACACTTTTATTATTATTATTGTTGCTGTTGTTGTTTTTGCTCTTGTCGTCTGGAGAATCGTTCTCTGTATGTAAACGTTGTATACTTGATAACGGAATTAAAAAAAAAACACGCACTCAAGGACATTTTTATATATATAAAAAAGTTGCGGTGTCTTTTATTTGGATCGTTTTCCGGATCTGATCCTTCTGGTCATCCTGCTCCTAAATAAAAATAATACTAATAACAGAGTAAAATAGTAAATAACATGGACTCAAGTATAAGCCGAGGGGAGATTTTTCAGCCTAAAAACGGGCTGAAAAACTAGGCTTATACTCGAGTATATACAGTAATTTTACAAAAATATTCCCTAAATGGATACACAGGCAAGGGGCGAACAAATTGAAACTGAATCCAGACAAGACAGAGGTCCTCCTGGTCAGTCGCAAGGCCGAACAGGGCATAGGGTTACAGCCTGTGTGGATGGGGTCACACTCCCCCTGAAGACGCAGGTTCGCAGCTTGGGAGTGATCCTGGACTCATCGCTGAGCCTGGAACCCCAGGTCTCAGTGGTGGCCGGGAGAGCTTTTGCACAATTAAAACTAGTGCGCCAGCTGCGCTCGTACCTTGGGAAGTCTGACTTGGCCACGGTAGTCCACGCTCTGGTTACATCCCGTTTAGACTACTGCAACGCACTCTACATGGGGTTGCCTTTGAAGACTGTTTGGAAACTAGGACGCGGAACAATGGCTTAAAACTACAAGAGAGGAGATTCCATCTGAACATGAGGAAGAACTTCCTGACTGTGAGAGCCGTTCAGCAGTGGAACTCTCTGCCCCGGAGTGTGGTGGAGGCTCCTTCTTTGGAAGCTTTTAACCAGAGGCTGGATGGCCATCTGTCAGGGGTGATTTGAATGCAATATTCCTGCTTCTTGGCAGAGGGGTTGGACTGGATGGCCCAGGAGGTCTCTTCCAACTCTTTGATTCTATGATTCTATGATTCTATGATCTGTCAGGGGTGATTTGAATGCAATATTAGGGAGCATACAACCCCCCTGTTGCGCCAACTCCACTGGCTAACGATCTGCTACCGGGCTGAATTCAAAGTGCTGGCGTTGGCCTTTAAAGCCCTAAACGGTTCCGGCCCAAGCTACCTATCTGACCGCATCTCTGCCTATGAACCCACCAGGACTTTGAGATCTTCCGGGGAGACCCTGCTCTCGATCTCGCCTGCTTCTCAAGCTCGGCTGGCGGGGACGAGAGATAGGGCCTTCTCGGTGGTGGCTCTCGGCTGTGGAACGCCCTTCCTACGGACATTAGACTAGCACCATCTCTAATGGTATTCCGCAAAAAAGTGAAGACCTGGCTGTTTGAGCAGGCGTTCGAATAATTAGTGCAATGATTGGTTAATGAACACTGGAATGGAACAATGGAGGACGAATCTGGAACATGTTTTTGATGACGAGACGACAGTGAATGGGTATTGTAGTAACTGTTTATTAATTGTGTAATGTGTTAGGTTGTTAACTGTTTTTACACTGTATTATTTATTTATTTATTTATTTATTTACTGCATTTATTGACCGCCGCTCTCAGCCCTAGGGCGACGCGCGGCGGTGCACAACATATAAAAACAGTTTACAAAAAGGGCAAAACAGGGAATCAATACAACAATAATACACTATAATCTAGTTACACTAAATAATCCGCTCCGTCACATCATAGAATCATAACCAATATCGTAATCCGTATTCCGTTCCAGTTGTCAATTACCAGTTGCCGTAGCGCTCAGTTGAATGCCTTCTCAAATAGCCAGGTCTTCAGGCTCTTACGGAAGGACAGAAGGGAGGGCGCCTGTCTGATGTCAGCAGGGAGGTCGTTCCACAGCCGGGGGGCCACCACCGAGAAGGCCCTTTCTCTCGTCCCCGCCAGACGTGCCTGTGAAGCAGGCGGGATCGAGAGAAGGGCCTCCCCAGACGATCTCAAGGTCCTCGTGGGCTCATAGGCCGAGATGCGGTCCGAAAGGTATTTTGGGCCGGAACCGTTTAGGGCTTTGTAGGATAGCACCAGCACCTTAAATTGGGCCCGGTAGCAAATCGGCAGCCAGTGGAGCTGGAAGCACTGAATTTTTGCTGTTCGTATTTGTTGTGAACCGCTGTGAGTCGCCTTCGGGCTTAGAACAGCGGGATATAAGTCAGATAAATAAATAAATAAATAAACTTGAGACTCGGTGGCCACTTGCTGGGCCCGTCCTCGACCGGTTCATCCCGCTGGACGCAGAGGCTGTCGATAGGCTCTTCGCTGCAGCCAGACTGACCACTTGCTCCCTCGATCCGTGTCCCTCTTGGTTGGTGAAATCCTGCTTGGAGGGATTACGTGACCCTCTGTTGAAGATCATAAACAGCTCCCTTGAGCAAGGAGTCTTTCCAGAGGGTTTAAAAGAGGCGGTGGTCTCTCCTTTGCTGAAGAAACCAGATTTAGATCCCTCGGTTCCCTCCAGTTACCGCCCAGTTTCAAATCTCTCGTTCCTGGGCAAGCTGAGCCGTTGCAGCAATTCCTAGACGACACAGCCTGAGGTCTCTTCCAACTCTAGGATTCGATGATTCTACGGCCAACTGCTTCATGGCATCTGGTCAGAAAACCCACCAAGGACGGAAGGAAAGAGTCGGGATGGCACCCTGAAGGCATGGTCCACGGCAGTGTCTCTCTTGCCTTCCCTCATCCTTGAAGGCAGCCCCACAACCGGCAACTGCAATGGGACAAGGCGGGGGGGGCACGGAGGAGGAATCACAGAAAACTCTCTCATTTCCTGTGGATCCGCTTTGGCTGTACCATCTGATTGACATACCAATAGTGAAAGGACCAAGGCTGTGCCAGAGGCGGCCCTAGGTAATTTTCAATGGTAAGCAAACAGTATTTTGCCCCCCCCTTCCCCCAACCAATCATTGATATATATTTTGTTTGTCGTGGGAGTTCTGTGTGCCATATTTGGTTCAATTCCATCATTGGTGGAGTTCAGAATGCTCTTTGATTGTAGGTGAACTATACATCCCAGTAACTACACTTGCCACTTTTGCTCCCTTGCCTGGCCCGCTTTGGGTCCGGAGGCGCGCCTGAAGACCCCGGCGTGTGCACCAAAAGTCACCTCTTCTCCTGACTTTCTCCTCAGCCATTGGGACCAAGAGAGAGGGAGAGAGAGAGAGAGGTGGAGATGCCCACCTTTCCTGAAGGTAGGCGCAAAAACAAAGGAGGGAGCGGAGGTGGGAGATACCTCCAGCCGGAGGGGCTCTCTCTCTCTCTCTCTTGGTCCCAATGGCTGAAGAGAAAGTCAGGAGAAGAGGCGACTTTTGGTGCGCACGCTGGGGTCTTCAGACATGCCTCCGGACCCAAAGCGGGCCAGGCATGGCGGCTCCGCCCCTTGGCCCACCTGCGGATTGGGGAGAGGAGAGGAGGCGGGTGGAGCGCCGGGGGATCGGGAAAGGGAGCCGGTCATGGGAAGGGATCGAACGCGGAGAACGATTGAGCGCCGGCTCTGCTCGTGCACCCGGTGGCCGGGTGGAGCAGGAACGAGAGGGGCTAGGCGAGGCTCAAGGGCCCGGCCCCTTTGGGAAGAGGATCGCCCGGCAGCGAGGCAAGAAAGCCGAGGCTCCCCCCGGACTGCTAGGGCTGTTGTGAGCTGAGTGGGCGCTCCTCAAGTGGCGGTCGAGGGGCATTTACAGAGGCGCCTCTGCGCCCCTGGCAAAAAAAAGTGTTCTGCGACCGCTTACTTCGCGTAATGGATGAGCCGCCCCTGCGTACGGCTGTACCAGGAGCTCCAACATTATTTTCTTTCTGTTATCTGTTTGCAGTCATAGGGCAGGCCACCTGTCCATCATAATTAAGCTTTGGTTCCGCCCCTTGTTCAGGGCTCTGGGAGGGAAAGGAGCCATTTTTTGGGCAGTCTCACATAAGGAAGCTAAACTATAGGACGTAGACCAGCTTGTCCCGTAGAAAAGCTTCTTTTCTCAAGAGCATCCGGGGGAACAGAAATTCCAGGAAAAAGGTCCAAAGGCTCTGGCTGAGAGCTCACAGCCTCTCAGCCTCACAGCAATCAGAGGGGAAATAGCCCTGAAGTTCTCAAAGAGTTATCTGAGGGAAAACAGCATTACAGATCCACGGAACTCCAGATATTTCAGCTGGAGTTCCGTGGATCTGTAATGCTGTTTTCCCTCAGCTGGTAGGTCTACTCGATACCCAGACGCATTTGGAATCGGTAGTAGGACCCACACCAATGAGGCATAGATAGTAAACAGCCTGGGAGAGGTTAAATAGGGTTTTTTCCTACAGAGAAAGTACAGTTAATCAAAGTCAGGTACCAGTTCCTTGAGGACTAGACTAAGAAAGCCTTGAAGAGTTGTTTGAACCATTGAAGATTTGTTGTTTGTTCCATAATCTCTCCCCTGCTGAAGAAACCAGACTTAGATCCTTCGGTTCCCTCCAGTTACTGCCCAGTTTCGAACCTCTCATTCCTGGGCAAGGTGATGGAGAGGGCAGCAGTGGAGCAGTTGCAGCAATTCGTAGACGACACAGCAGGTCATTTGTGTAGATGTTGAACATGGATGGAGCAAGCACGCTCCCCTGAGGCAGACCGTTCTTCTGTTTCCGCCATCTGCTTCTCTGGCCCTGGAACTCAACAAAAAAGCTCCTGTTTTGTAGCAGGTTTCCTATGAGGCGGGTGAGGTGGTAGTCCTTTGTGATATTATACATTTTTCGTTAGGGATCAGCTGGTTTTCCCTGTAATAGGCAGTAAGAGCACCTAGAGCTTTGGATAGCTTCTGTTCTATCATCTCAAAGTTCCCTGCTTGAGCAGTAATGGCACAATCATCAGCATAGATGAAACTCTCTGTCCCTTCTGGCAGTGGCTGGTCATTTGTGTAGATGTTGAACATGGATGGAGCAAGCACGCTCCCCTGAGGCAGGCCGTTCTTCTGTTTCCGCCATCTGCTTCTCTGGCCCTGGAACTCAACAAAAAAGCTCCTGTTTTGTAGCAGGTTTCCTATCAGGCGGGTGAGGTGGTCATCCTTTGTGATATTATATATATGGTATATGGTTAGGGATCAGCTGGCTTTCCCTGTAATAGGCAGTAAGAGCACCTAGGGCTTTGGAGAGTTTCTGTTCTACCATCTCAAAGTTCCCTGCTTGAGCGGTGATGGCACAATCATCAGCATAGATGAAACTCTCTGTCCCTTCTGGCAGTGGGTGGTCATTTGTGTAGATGTTGAACATGGATGGAGCAAGCACGCTCCCCTGAGGCAGGCCGTTCCTCTGTTTCCACCATCTGCTTCTCTTGCCTGGAACTCAACAAAAAAGCTCCTGTTTTGTAGCAGGTTTCCTATCAGGCGGGTGAGGTGGTCGTCCTTTGTGATATTATACATTTTTCTCAGGAGGAGGCAGTGGTTCACAGTATCATAAGCCGCTGACAGGTCTATGAAGACAGCTCCTGTGATCTGCTGCCTTTCAAAGCCACCTTCTATGGGCTGAGTCAGGTTCAGCACTTGCGATGTGCAGCTTCTGCCTTTCCTGAAAGAATCAGACAGGGGTCTATTTTTTCCCCATAATTCTATGCAAAATAAGTCTCTCCAGGACTTTGTAGAGGTGGCACAGCACGGAGATTGGTCTGTAGCTTTTTGGGTCATGGCGGTCTTTGCCTGGCTTCAAGATGGCGGTGACTCTTGCTTTCCTCCAGATTTTGGGGATCTGACCGGATGCAGTGCAGTTGTTCGTCAGCTCCAGCAGCCAGCGCCTTGCTTTTGGACCAAAGTTCTTGATTTGTTCCTCCAGATTTTGGGGATCTGACAGGATGCAGTGCAGTTGTTCATTAGCTCTAGTAGTCAGCACTTTGCTTTTGGGCCAAAGTTCTTGATTTGTTCCATCCGTAGATCATCCAGGCCAGCTGCTTTGCCATTCTTACATGTATGGAGAGCCATGTCCAATTCAGGCCTGGTTCTAAAGGTCAGTGACCTTGGGTTCCTTTTCTCATTCATTAACTCCATTCAGTTCGATGCGATCGGCTCTCGATTGCTTTTGCCGAACCCGGAAGAAGGGCGGCTCGCTGAGCTCGGCGCTCTCTCGCTGCGCGACGTCTCCTAGCAACGCGGGGCCTAGTCGTAGGTCCGGAGCCTTGGCCTAGCGTAGCGGCGCGATGCTGCGGAGCCTGGCCTCGGCGGGGCTACGAAATGGAGCCTCCTTCGGTCGAAGAGGAGGAGGAGGAGGAAGGGGAAAAGGCTTCCCGCGGTGGGGGCTGGGCCTAGGCTTGGGCTTGGCGGCGGCGGCGGTTTCCTCCGCAGCCGGGAATGACGAGATGGAGGCGGATGGGGAGGCGCAGGAAAGGCCGAGGCGGGGAGCGGCCTACATCCGGGCCCAGGCCACCAGCAGGGACCTCCTGCAACGAGTGAAGGTAGGGGAAAGGCTCAACTGAGCATGCGCAGAGCACCTTCTCTAGTCTCTCCCCAGCAGGATTGTATGTCAATAGAGAGAGAATATGTATTCTTATGTACAGGTGTAGATGGACCTCAAGGGGTCATCTAGTCCAACCCCTGTCTGCCTTCATGCAGGGAAAGCACCATCAACCCCCCCCCCCCCGACAGATATATAAATATTAACATATATAAATACATATAAGTATAAATACATATAAATATATGTGTGTATATATATATATATATACACACACACACACATTACAATGCATGTGCAAAACCACATATATACACACAAACACACACATGTACACATATACACCCGGTGGCGCAGTGGGTTAAAGCGCTGAGCTGCTGAGCTTGTTGATCGAAAGGTTGCAGGTTCGATTCCGGGGAGCGGCGTGAGCTTCCGCTGTCAGCCCCAGCTTCTGCCAACCTAGCAGTTCGAAAACATGCAAATGTGAGTAGATGAATAGGTACTGCTCCGGCGGGAAGGTAACTCTGCTCCATGCAGTCATGCCGGCCACATGACCTTGGAGGTGTCTATGGACAACGCTGGCTCTTCGCCTTAGAAATGGAGATGAGCACCACATCCCAGAGTCAGGCATGACTGGACTTAATGTCAGGGGACTACCTTTACCTTTACTATACACACACACACACACATTACAATGCATGTGCAAAACCACATATATACACACAAACACACACATGTACACATACACAATATACACACACAACATACATATACACAGACTGGGCCACAGCAACACGTGGCAGGGGATGGCTAGTCTATATAAATACATTACAATGTATGTGCAAAACCACATACACACACACACAAACAGGCTGGATGGCCATCTGTCAGGGGTGATTTGAATGCAATATTCCTGCTTCTTGGCAGAATGGGGTTGGACTGGACGGCCCATAAGGTCTCTTCCAACTCTTTGATTCTATGATTATATATATATACACGCAGACACACATATACAGAAATATATACACATATACATACACAAAATACATATACACAGCCTGGGCCACAGCAACACGTGGCAGGGGATGGCTAGTCTATATAAATACATTACAATGCATGTGCAAAACCAACTATATATATATATATATACACAAACACACATATACACAAATATATACACACATATACACACAAAATACATATACACAGACTGGGCCACAGCAACCCGAGGCAGGGGATGGCTCGTCTATATAATTACATTACAATGCATGTGCAAAACCACATATATACATGTAAACACACATATGTACATAAATATATGCACACACAAAATACATATAGACAGACTGGGCCACAGCAACACGTGGCGGGGGATGGCTCGTCTATATAAATACATTGCAATGCATGTGCAAAACCACATATATACATACATATACACAGACTGGGCCACAGCAACACGTGGCAGGGGATGGCTCGTCCATATAAATACATTACAATGCATGTGCAAAACCACATATATACATGCGTACACATATACACAGACTGGGCCACAGCAACCCGTGGCAGGGGATGGCTCGTCTATATAATTACATTACAATGCATGTGCAAAACCACATATATACATGCAAACACACATATGTACATAAATATATGCACACATATATATACACACAAAATACATATACACAGACTGGGCCACAGCAATGCGTGGCAGGGGATGGCTAGTCTATATAAATAAAACATATAAACACACACATATACACAGACTGGGCCACAGCAACACGTGGCAGGGGATGGCTAGTCTGTATAAATACATTACAATGCATGTGCAAAAATATATATATATATATATATATATATATATATATATATACACAAACGCACATATACACAAATATATACACACATATACACACAAAATACATATACACAGACTGGGCCACAGCAACCCGAGGCAGGGGATGGCTCGTCTATATAATTACATTACAATGCATGTGCAAAACCACATATATACATGTAAACACACATATGTACATAAATATATGCACACACAAAATACATATAGACAGACTGGGCCACAGCAACACGTGGCGGGGGATGGCTCGTCTATATAAATACATTGCAATGCATGTGCAAAACCACATATATACATACATATAGACAGACTGGGCCACAGCAACACGTGGCGGGGGATGGCTCGTCTATATAAATACATTACAATGCATGTGCAAAACCAACTATATATATATATATGTATATATATATACACACAAACGCACATATACACAAATATATACACACATATACACACAAAATACATATACACAGACTGGGCCACAGCAACACGTGGCAGGGGATGGCTCGTCCATATAAATACATTACAATGCATGTGCAAAACCACACATATACATGCGTACACATATACACACACAAAATACATATACACAGACCGGGCCACAGCAACACGTGGCAGGGGATGTCTCGTCTATATAAATACATTATAATGCATGTGCAAAACCACATATATCCACGCAAACACACATATGTACACATATACACACAAAATACATATACACAGACTGGGCCACAGCAACACGTGGCAGGGGATGGCTCGTCTATATAAATACATTACAATGCATGTGCAAAACCACATATATACATGTAAACACACATATGTACATAAATATATGCACACACAAAATACATATAGACAGACTGGGCCACAGCAACACGTGGCGGGGGATGGCTCGTCTATATAAATACATTGCAATGCATGTGCAAAACCACATATATACATACATATACACAGACTGGGCCACAGCAACACGTGGCAGGGGATGGCTCGTCCATATAAATACATTACAATGCATGTGCAAAACCACATATACATGCGTACACATATACACACACAAAATACATATACACAGACCGGGCCACAGCAACACGTGGCAGGGGATGTCTCGTCTATATAAATACATTACAATGCATGTGCAAAACCACATATATCCACGCAAACACACATATGTACACATATACACACAGAAAATACATATACACAGACTGGGCCACAGCAACACGTGGCAGGGGATGGCTCGTCCATATAAATACATTATAATGCATGTGCAAAACCACATATATCCACGCCAACACACATATGTACACATATACACACAGAAAATACATATACACAGACTGGGCCACAGCAACACGTGGCAGGGGATGGCTCGTCCATATAAATACATTATAATGCATGTGCAAAACCACATATATCCACGCAAACACACATATGTACACATATACACACAGAAAATACATATACACAGACTGGGCCACAGCAACACGTGGCAGGGGATGGCTCGTCCATATAAATACATTATAATGCATGTGCAAAACCACATATATCCACGCCAACACACATATGTACACATATACACACAGAAAATACATATACACAGACTGGGCCACAGCAACACGTGGCAGGGGATGGCTCGTCCATATAAATACATTATAATGCATGTGCAAAACCACATATATCCACGCCAACACACATATGTACACATATACACACAGAAAATACATATACACAGACTGGGCCACAGCAACACGTGGCAGGGGATGGCTCGTCCATATAAATACATTATAATGCATGTGCAAAACCACATATATCCACGCCAACACACATATGTACACATATACACACAGAAAATACATATACACAGACTGGGCCACAGCAACACGAGGCAGGGGATGGCTCGTCTATATAAATACATTACAATGCATGTGCAAAACCACATATATACACACAAACACATATATGTACACATATACACACACAAAACACAAATACAGAGATTGGACCACAGCAACACATGACAGGGGACAGCTAATAATAATAATAATAATAATAATAATAATAGACTTCTAGAGTTCCAAGAGACCCTCAAGGGTCATCTAGTTCAACACCCTGGACTCCTGTGGAGGTGAGTTCCACTGCTGAACAGCTCTCCTTATGGTCAGGACGTTCTTCCTAATGTTCAAGTGAGATCTCTTTTCCTGTATTTTGATGTTTTCTCTCCACAGGACGAAGTGGGGGCCCCTGGCATTGTGGTGGGAGTCTCTGTCGATGGGAAGGAAGTCTGGTCCGAAGGTGAGCGAGTGGCGTGTTCCTGCCCATGATTATTATTTGAAACATACGACGATTACACAGAAAACAAGATCACTCGGCTGGCTTTTGTATTTCATCACACGGTGGGCGCTTCCCAAGTGTCTAGGGCTGTGTGATGTATCAGTAAATAATGCGTGCAGATCCAAGCAAGGTGGTCTTTTGCAGCTGACGGATGGTGATGTCAGCGCTGATTGTTTTTAAGTGCAGGCCAAAGTCTTTAGGCACTGCACCCAGTGTGCCGATCACCACTGGGACCCCCTTGACTGGCTTGTGCAGCTCAATCTTTAAATCTTCGTATTGTGTTGGATTTTCCAGTTGTTTCTCTTCAATCTTGCTGTCGCTTGAGATTGCAACATCGACGATCCATACTTGGATTGTTGTAGGTTTTTTCGGGCTATATGGCCATGTTCTAGAGGCATTCTCTCCTGACGTTTCGCCTGCATCTATGGCAAGCATCCTCAGAGGTAGTGAGGTCTGTTGGAATTAGGAAAAAGGGTTTATATATATCTGTGGAATGACCAGGGTGGGACAAAGGACTCTTGTCTGCTGGAGCCAGGTGGGAATGTTTCAACTGACCACCTTAATTAGCTTTTGATGCCCTGGCAGTGCCTGGGGCAGTCTTTTGTTGAGAGGTGATTAGATGTCCTTGTTTGTTTCCTCTCTGTTGTCGTGCTGTTGTAATTTTAGAGTTTTTTAATACTGATTCCCCTTCGGGGTGAGAAGGGCGGAATATAAATGTTTTAAAGAAATAAATAATAAATACTAGGCTTGGGCGATCCAGTTCATTTCGTTATTCGTTATTGATTCGTATTTAAATTAGCTTACGATCCAATATCGAGCCATGCAGGAATAGTGTGAGGAGTAATTAAGAATCGAAACAATTTTTTCCCGATTTTCGTAATTATTTCGTAATTATTTTCGTATGTCTGGTGCATTGTATTGTATATTATATTATATTATTATATTATATTACTATATTATATTATAATTGTATATTATAATATAATATAATATAATATAATATAATATAATACATTATTATATTATATTATATATATTATATAATAATAATAATAATAATATTATAATAATATAATATAATATAATAATATTATAATATAATATGTTGTTGTTGTTCATTCGTTCAGTCGTCTCCGACTCTTCGTGACCTCATGGACCAGTCCACGCCATAGCTCCCTGTCGGCCGTCACCACCCCCAGCTCCTTCAAGGTCAGTCCAGTCACTTCAAGGATTATAATATAATAATATAATATAATATAGTTGTTGTTTGTTTTATCACACCAACAGTCAACAACAGAGGGAGAGGGAAGCTTCAGAAGTTCCCCCTGTCCCATTCGGAGGTTTTTTTAGCATATGCGCAATCGCGTCCGCCATTAACGAATCGATTCGTAATTCACGAAATTTCGGAAATTTCGAAATTTTGAAATCTTAAATTTCGGAAGTCCTCAGAATTTTGAAACGCTAGCGCACTCTAGAAACGAAACGAGTTTAGAACCAATTTTTTTCTTGATCGCCCAAGCCTAATAAATACACATAATAATAATACATTCTAATACTAATAATAGACACTTTGAGCCCGCTTTGTGCTGGTCAGTGACCATAATAAAGTATTGTATTGCCTCTTTGAGTCTCGCAGAGAGAAAAAGCAGGGTATAAATAAACATAATAGTAATAATAATAATAATAATAATAATAATAATACATTCTAATACTAATAATAGATACTTTGAGCCCGCTTTGTGCTGGTCAGTGACCATAATAAAGTATTGTATTGCCTCTTTGAGTCTCGCAGAGAGAAAAAGCGGGGTATAAATAATAATAATAATAATAATAATAATAATAATAATAATACATTCTAATACTAATAATAGATACTTTGAGCCCGCTTTGTGCTGGTCAGTGACCATAATAAAGTATTGTATTGCCTCTTTGAGTCTCACAGAGAGAAAAAGCAGGGTATAAATAAACATAATAGTAATAATAATAATAATAATAATAATAATAATAATAATAATAATACATTCTAATACTAATAATAGATACTTTGAGCCCGCTTTGTGCTGGTCAGTGACCATAATAAAGTATTGTATTGCCTCTTTGAGTCTCACAGAGAGAAAAAGCGGGGTATAAATAGTAATAATAATAATAATAATAATAATAATAATAATACATTCTAATACTAATAATAGATACTTTGAGCCCGCTTTGTGCTGGTCAGTGACCATAATAAAGTATTGTATTGCCTCTTTGAGTCTCGCAGAGAGAAAAAGCAGGGTATAAATAAACATAATAATAATAATAATAATAATAATAATACATTCTAATACTAATAATAGATACTTTGAGCCCGCTTTGTGCTGGTCAGTGACCATAATAAAGTATTGTATTGCCTCTTTGAGTCTCACAGAGAGAAAAAGCAGGGTATAAATAAACATAATAATAATAATAATAATAATAATAATAATAATAATAATACATTCTAATACTAATAATAGATACTTTGAGCCCGCTTTGTGCTGGTCAGTGACCATAATAAAGTATTGTATTGCCTCTTTGAGTCTCGCAGAGAGAAAAAGTGGGGTATAAATAAACATAATAATAATAATAATAATAATAATAATACATTCTAATACTAATAATAGATACTTTGAGCCCGCTTTGTGCTGGACAGTGACCATAAGAAAGTATTGTATTGCCTCTTTGAGTCTCGCAGAGAGAAAAAGCAGGGTATAAATAAACATAATAATAATAATAATAATAATACATTCTAATACTAATAATAGATACTTTGAGCCCGCTTTGTGCTGGACAGTGACCATAAGAAAGTATTGTATTGCCTCTTTGAGTCTCGCAGAGAGAAAAAGGGGTATAAATAAACATAATAATAATAATAATAATAATAATAATAATAATAATAATACATTCTAATACTAACAATAGATACATTGTGCCCGCTTTGTGCTGGTCAGTGACCATAATAAAGTATTGTATTGCCTCTTTGAGTCTCGCAGAGAGAAAAAGCAGGGTATAAATAAATAATAATAATAATAATAATAATACATTCTAATACTAATAATAGATACTTTGAGCCCGCTTTGTGCTGGTCAGTGACCATAATAAAGTATTGTATTGCCTCTTTGAGTCTCGCAGAGAGAAAAAGCAGGGTATAAATAAACATAATAATAATAATAATAATAATAATAATAATACATTCTAATACTAATAATAGATACTTTGAGCCTGCTTTGTGCTGGACAGTGACCATAATAAAATATTGTATTGCCTCTTTGAGTCTCGCAGAGAGAAAAAGCAGGGTATAAATAAACATAATAATAATAATAATAATAATAATAATAATAATAATAATAATACATTCTAATACTAATAATAGATACTTTGAGCCCGCTTTGTGCTGGTCAGTGACCATAATAAAGTATTGTATTGCCTCTTTGAGTCTCGCAGAGAGAAAAAGCGGGGTATAAATAGTAATAATAATAATAATAATAATAATAATAATAATAATAATACATTCTAATACTAATAATAGATACTTTGAGCCCGCTTTGTGCTGGATGTTTGCATCTCGTGGTGCCAGAGCGCAGTCTGTTCAGTGCCTTCCAAGTCGCCCAGTCTTCTGTGTGCCCAGGGGGGAGTCTCTCATCTGGTATCACCCACGGATTGAGGTGCTGGGTTTGAGCCTGCCACTTTTGGACTCTCGCTTGCTGAGGTGTTCCAGCGAGTTCTCTGTAGATCTTAGAAAACTATTTCTAGATTTAAGTCGTGGACGTGCTGGCTGATACCCAAACAGGGGGTGAGCTGGAGATGTCTCTGACTTACACTATTGGCTGCCACTTCCCGGCGGATGTCAGGTGGTGGAATACCGACTAAGCAGTGTAATTTCTCCAGTGGTGTAGGGCGCAGGCACCCCGTGATAATGCGGCATGTCTCATTAAGAGCCACATCCACTGTTTTAGTGTGGTGAGATGTGTTCCACACTGGGCATGCGTACTCAGCAGCAGAGTAGCATAGCGCAAGGGCAGATGTCTTCACTGTGTCTGGTTGTGATCCCCAGGTTGTGCCAGTCAGCTTTCGTATGATATTGTTTCTAGCACCCACTTTTTGCTTGATGTTCAGGCAGTGCTTCTTGTAGGTCAGAGCACGGTCCAGAGTGACTCCCAGGGATTTGGGTGTGCTGCAATGCTCCAGTGGGATTCCTTCCCAGGTAATAATCCTCAGAGCTCGGGATGCTTGTCTGTTCTTAAGGTGAAAGGCACATGTCTGTGTTTTAGATGGATTAGGGATCAGCTGGTTTTCCCTGTAATAGGCAGTAAGAGCACCTAGAGCTTCAGAGAGCTTCTGTTCTACCATCTCAAAGCTCCCTGCTTGAGCGGTGAATGGCACGATCATCAGCATAGATGAAACTCTCTGTCCCTTCTGGCAGTGGCTGGTCATTGTGTAGATGTTGACCATGGATGGGGCAAGCACGCTCCCCTGAGGCAGGCCGTTCTTCTGTTTCCGCCATCTGCTTCTCTGGCCCTGGAACTCAACAAAGAAGCTCCTGTTTTGTAGCAGGTTTCCAATGAGGCGGGTGAGGTGGTCGTCCTGTGTGATATTATACATATGATATATGGTTAGGGATCAGCTGGTTTTCCCTGTAATAGGCAGTAAGGGCACCTAGAGCTTCGGAGAGCTTGTGTTCTACCACCTCAAAGCTCCCTGCTTGAGCGGTGATGGCACGATCATCAGCATAGATGAATCTCTGTCCCTTCTGGCAGTGGCTGGTCATTATCTTTCCTTGATGAGGACTATAGACTTGGGTGTGATGTGGTTTTGGTCCAACCAATTGTATGTCTGCCTGCCCTGAAAGCCAATGAAAGCCACCCCTTTGCTCCCCTTCAAGGCATGGGTTTTGCCGACGTAGAGAACCGGGTGCCCTGCCGGCCAGAGACCGTCCTGCGCATTGCGAGCATCAGTAAACCCTTGGCGATGGTGGCTGCCGCGAAGCTGTGGGAGGAAGGGAAGCTGGACTTGGACGCCCCCGTGCAGAAGTACGTCCCGGAATTCCCGGAAAAGGAGTACGAAGGAGAGAAGGTATTATTTTCTCAGCGAGGGCCCATTCTCGAGCATCAGGTATAACAGTCATGGGCCAACGTCGGCCCCCCAGGTGATTTATTTATTTATTTGCCGTATATCCTTGAGTATAAGCCGAACCAAATATAAGCCAAGGCACCTAATTTTACCACAAATAACTGGGAAAACATATTGACTCTGGTATAAGCCGAGGGTGGGAAATGCAGCAGCTACTGGTAAAATTCAAAATAAAAATAGATTCCAATACAATTACATTAATTGAGGCATCAGCGGGTTAAATGTTTTTGAATATTTACATAAAACTGTAATTTAAGATTTATTTATCGTGTCAGGCAACCAAACGGTTGTATTACATTTTTTAACAGAACAAACAAACATACAAGTGTGACCCTGTTGCTTCTCTTGGACATCTCAGCGGCTTTCGATACCATCGATCATGGTATCCTTCTGGGTCGACTCTCTGGGATGGGTCTCGGGGGCACGGTTCTGTCGTGGCTCCGGTCCTTCCTGGAGGGTTGATCCCAGATGGTGAAGCTGGGAGACGCCTGCTCGGACCCCTGGCCTTTGACCTGTGGGGTCCCGCAAGGCTCTATTCTGTCTCCCATGCTTTTTAACATCTACATGAAACCGCTGGGAGAGGTCATCCGGAGTTTTGGAGTTGGGTGCCATCTCTACGCAGATGACGCACAACTCTACTACTCTTTTCCACCTAATTCCAAGGAATGCTGGACGAGTGCCTGGCCGCTGTGTCTGTCTGGATGAGGAGGAACAAGCTGAAGATCAATCCCGACAAGACAGAGGTCCTCCTGGTCGATCGCAAACCGGATCGGGGTATAGGGTGGCAACCTGTGTTGGACGGGGTGACACTCCCCCTGAAGCCACAGGTCCGCAGTTTGGGAGTCCTCTTGGATTCATCGCTTACTCTTGAGGCTCAGGCGTCGGCGGTGGCCGGGAGGGCTTTTGCACAATTGAGACTCGTGCGCCAACTGCGACCGTACCTCGCAAAGGTTGATCTGGCCGGGGTGGTCCATGCCTTGGTCACCTCCAGATTGGACTACTGTAATGCGCTCTACGTGGGGCTGCCCTTGAAAACGGCTCGGAAATTCCAACTGGTCCAACGGGCAGCAGCCAGGATGTTAACCGGGGCTCCTTACAGAGAGAGGTCAACCCTCCTGTTCAAGGAGCTCCACTGGCTGCCATTTACCTCCGAGCCCAATTCAAGGTGCAGGTGCTTACCTACAAAGCCCTAAACGGTTTGGGACCATCCTACCTGTGTGACCGCATCTCCGTTTACGAACCCACACGTTCAATTCGTTCATCCGGAGAGGCCCTGCTCTTGATTCCGCCTGCATCGCAAGAGCGTTTGGTGGGGACGCGAGACGGGGCCTTTTCCGTGGTGGCCCCCCGACTCTGGAACACCCTCCCCAAAGACCTTAGACAGGCCCCTTCGTTGGCACTCTTCAGAAAGAACTTGAAGACCTGGCTGTTCCGATGTGCCTTCCCAGAATAGGAAATCTCCAATACCAAGTCCCAGAAGCACTTTAGTAGAACTAAGATTGCTGCACACTGCACTTACCCTATAATCCTTACATATCACCTGTCACTTCAGCACTTTTAATCTGTACCCATTACTCTGGCCCGGCCCAGTTTTATGTCTTGATGTATTGTTTATTGCTTGTTGTTTAATATTGCTTTAACTGTTTTTAATTTGTTTTAGGTTTTGTATTGTTGTGTTGTGTTTTGAGGCCTCGGCCTTTGTAAGCCGCATCGAGTCCTTCGGGAGATGCTAGCGGGGTACAAATAACGTTAATAATAATAATAATAATAATAATAATAATAATACAAAAACAGAGAGTTTGCAAGCTTGGTAGTTGATTAAATGTCCTTTGACCAGTATCTGGCCCCTTGGAGTGCTTCTGGTGTTGCCGCAAGGAGGTCCTCCCTTGTGTATCATGTGGCAGGGCTCAGGTTGCATGGCAGCAGGTGGTCAGTGGTTTGCTCTTCTCCGCACTCGCATGTCGAGGATTCCACTTTGTGGCCCCATTTCTTGACGTTGGCTCTGCATCTCGTGGTGCCCGAGCGCAGTCTGTTCAGCGCCTTCCAAGTCTCCCAGTTTTCTGTGTGCCCAGGGGGGAGTCTCTCATTTCATATCAGCCATTGATTGAGGCTCTGGGTTTGAGCCTGCCACTTTTGGACTCTCGCTTGCTGGGGTGTTCCAGCGAGTGTCTCTGTAGATCAGGGGTCCTCAAACTTTTTAAACCGGGGGCCAGTTCACTGTCCCTCAGACCGTTGGAGGGCCGGACTATATATATATATATATAAAATCAATAAAAAAAATCCCTATGCACATTGCAGATATCTTATTTTGTGATGTGGAAGGGCCCTTAGAGGGAGGGGGTTCTTTCTACCCCTCTTTAGGCAGTAATTCCAGGAGCAGAGAATGGGAAGTCTTCCTATTTCTAGTCTGAACAAAATCTGGCTACCAGTATTAAAAAAACTCTCAAATTATAACTGTAAATAAAGAACAACACTCCAACACAGGGGAACTCCAGACAAGAAACAATCAGGGCCAGC